TAGTGTTCAGTGGCTTCTCAGCTCTGTGCAGGACTCCCTTGACCTCACAGATTGCTTGAGCATAGAGGCAGTCAGTTGTTCTTTTAATACTAGTACAATAATAAGAATGAAATAATATATTTAAAATTGTTTGAGTTCTCTGGAGCACAATATTTTCAAAATTCTTTTGTAAGAAAAGTCTTCATTCTAACTGGAAATAAAATAATTTCACTGGAGGAAGAAGAAGACCCTAAGTTCTATGGGGTTTGGGGGTGAGGGATGCTTTTTTACAAGAAAGGGATGGGAAGAGGGATAGAGAGGCTTGGAAAGTCCCTTTGCCTTCCATCCACTGCAACTCTATACCTACAGGCACCAAGCTTGAACTCACAATTATTTCAATCTGTAGAAATCTACAAAAGGGATATCAGGTAAATTGTGTGGGTTTTTTCCCTTGTTTTTATATATGAAAAAAAATTAATAACATAAGATTTCTATGCTAACTCAAAAAACATTCAAGGTATTATGGCAAGACCATCATATATAAAAATTAAAAACTTAGAAGTATGTCTTGACGATCACGTGTCAAGATGCAGGTGAAGAGGAAAGGGGTACCTGCCTGTGCATTCTCTAGTCAGCAGCATATTTTTTAGTACTCCCTTTTGAATACAAATTGCATGTTGCTTGAGACTGTAACAGACTGTAAAAGTCCGGAAAGATCAGGTAATCCAGACTTCATACTGGTCATTCTACTAAGTAGTATGGGCTGAATCCACTGCCTAAAAAGATATGAAGCAAACAGAAGATTCTCCTGTACAAATGTGAATAAATTATTTCCTTCTATTTTAGGAAATATCTTCTGCTAGCCAACAGAGCAAAACTAACAGAGATAAATTATATCCCATGTGAATATGAGGGAAATATAAGAAATAAATCTAAAATATTTCTTAAAACCCCAAATGAAACCTCTTTGTTTCATTTTGTAAATTATTGCTCTCTCATTAAATCTAGGTCAGCTTTCATTTTGAAGTGAAAAATAAATGTTTCCGCATTTCCGATGAGAAATATTTTAATAACTTCAAAGCAAAATATTCAAATCATTTTGAAAAGTTTCTTTACTTAGCAATAATTCTTAATGAATTCCACTCAAATTTATATAACATTGATCTTCTGAAATTTATGTTTTTTGACAAATTAACCATTGAAAATTAAAAAGAAGAAAGCCCTTCTCTGCTCTGGGTAGATCTTCTGTCTGCATCATGTATAGAAAACTGATGAATTATATAGCTTAAAAAAAAGCCTCTCTATCTTTCCTACACTATGGTTATTTCAGGCTAATTTCAGGCACTAGTTACCTTCTCCATCATGGCTCTTTGTTTTTTGGGGAAGAAGAATTATATTATGTGAATAGGATTCACTCATAGAAGTAAATGCTACTGTGATGGACCATCGGTAAATCTGAAAGAAAAGCAAATTCCTGGTATGCTGTTCTAATAACGCATGTTTCTTTAAAGGGGTAACTATTACAATATGGAATGTTACAATAAGTTTATGATCAAAGCTTTCAAAATATGACTAAGGAAAAAATTATAAAGCCAGCCATGTATCATAAATAATTTATCTCAAAACACTGAGGAAATAATCTCTCTATGCATATAGGCTTTTGCATTTGCAGCAATCTGCTGCTGATTGCATAGCTGCAAAGCCACTTTTCAGATGTAGTTCATCAGAAGTATAAGTATATCAGAAGTATACAAGTAATTGTAAAACAGATATAGGCATGCACCTTTACTAATAGAGGAGTAGTGTTCTAAAACTACTTTTCAGATCATCAGCCATTCGTTGACATTTCTAACACATTATTTGTGTGATTTCAGGAAAGTGCTAAAAATATCTATTTGTTATCTGAAAATGCTGAAGTTCTTCTCCAAAGTGTAGAGATATCTGATATTAACAACTTCATCTCAATTTCAGAAATCAATTGCTCAAGCATCTCCATTTTAAATAAACTGGTAGTCATTGAAGCTAATAAAGTTCGTGAAAAACAATAATGGAACTAGAGAAAACAACTCAGAGCTCCACACTGGCATGCGTTTGGGAAAAATAGTTCACTGTTGTATAAGAAAATTTTCGTTTCTAGAAAGATGTCCTCCAGATGAATTGGTATTATCCTGGTGGACAATATCAGTCAGGTCTGAGAATGATTCTGATCTTACAAAACCAGAAATTTTGCAGTTTTTCCAACGCCATAAATTCAATATAATGAATGTAATTGAGGGCATTTTTGTCTTCATGGTTAAGAAATTGCAACTGAAACTAGTGGGAAATATAAATATTCTGGAAATTAGTTTATAAATCACAAAAATATGCAGCAGAAAAATATAGAATGGAAGTATCCCAATAACTTAACTTTCATGCAATTCAGTTTCCTTTGAAATTAATGGTAAAAACCTAATTAAGGCAACACAGTGCTTTCGAAGGCCTAAGGTCTAAACTTGATATAATAACTGAAAGCATAGTAGCTGAATTTCTGGTATTTTTATGTGACTTCATTTTTTTCATCAGAGTGCTAGACTGTTAGTGAAATAGGATTTTTCTGTAACCTGTTGTTTGTTGATTAGATTGGGGGAGTCTGACCTAAATTCCTATTGTAATTACTTGCTAGCTCGCTACATACACCCTCTTAACAAAGTTTAAACTCATGCTTAAAAAAGAGACATGCCACGATAAAGATGTTTGTTATCTGATATATAATTTGTATATAATGGAATGTTTTGTGATTTATGGCAAATTGAGACTGATACACAAATCAGATATATAGTACTTCTTATATGTATCACAGTTATTCAGTATTTTTAATCTAATCTAATGTAATCTTATGCAGCATTCTCTAGTGCTTTTCATTGCAAACAAATAAAACTTAGGCTTCTCTTTAAGTGCTATTTTTGTTTTTGTTTGTGCTTTGATTTTTCCAGTGTAGATACATGTTCTCAAAAAGGTCTTGGAAATGCTTTTTCTCCTATTTAGGAGCAATCGATAGTTCACAGACCACCTCCTTAAAAACACATCTCTTGATGTGTGATGTGTGTGTGATGATTGATGATTGAATAATTCATAATACTTAGATTCTTCACTGATGCAAATAACCACAGAGTCTTCTATTAACTTCTCCATATGTGGAGCGTGAAAAAATGAAAGAAAATGGCCTAGGACATTCAAAACGAAAAATTTTCTCCTGCTTCTAGGTAATAGTAATATAATTATCAAAAATCATGAATGAAAACATCAGGTAAAGAAATCTCTAGTAGAATCTTTTCTAAAAAATTCAAGTAACAACTTTTGATTTGTACTTTGGTTTATTTGTTCCTTGTCTGCTTTTGGCCATTATGCTTGTGATAATCTTAATTAACCATCAGCTAGTTCTACTGTTTCATTTTTTTCACAAAACAAAACTAATCAACATATAGAATGTTAAATGTGTCTTCAAATAGAGTGTTTTCACCTTCTTTATATGCACATTTTTGCATTTGCCCTTTTTTATAGGCACCTACAAATAATGATGTACTCTATCTGGATATGCTTTTTTAACAGTCTGGTTTTGTGCTGCGAAATAATTGCTTTTTTTTCCCCCCACTGAGTGTTAGTAACCATGTAACAATCAGAAATATCTCAGTGACTTGCTTTGCATGCAAATGTGGCATTTTGGTTCCAAACTGATAATATATCACTGTTCTGTACAGCTCTTCTGAAAAATATTCAATAGTTGAAATACACTGAAATTCTATTGTTCCATTGATTTATTGATCTTTCATTTGTCTTTTCTCTAGCAAATACTTTGTCAGACTATTCTTTCCTTTGTACATCTAATAGTTCATTATATTTTTGGATGGATGTGACCTAACAATCAAAATATAATTTGTTAAAGAGGGAAATACACTGTTTTCTCTCAGCAATTCCTTCTAGCCATCTCTATCATTAATATACCTCACCTTACAAACAGTCTTTGTTCTAGTAAAGTGGAGCTGTTCTATCTTTTTACTTCTGAGGAAAAGAGATACAAATCAAGAGATTTGTCTCACTCTTGACTGTGCAATAGGTCTATGGCTGAAACCAGCTAGAATCCAAATTTTTGGCGCCCAGTTCAGTAATTTTCATCTGATGATCTCCACTATTCAATGTGTCAGCAGCACTTCTGCAAAATCCTTGCACGGGTACTTCCATTTCAAGAGAAACCTGCAGCATACTGAGAGATAGTAGGAAGTACCACAGTTCTGCATTACAGTTGATCAAGAATCATGACCGCAGAGTGCAGAGAGAAGGGACTACAGTACAGACTGACAAGAATAAATAAACAACAATAGTTACACTGAGGACTGATATCGAGAACGTTATTGTTATAACAGGGTTAAAGAAGGTAATGTGTATTTTGCAGAAGAGAAAATGACATGTAAAAACCAAAATAACAGAGACATAAACATTTTTCTTTTTCCTCCTTCCTCCCACATAACACTGCCACATCTCCTCAGAACACAAATAATTCTACAAAAGCAAAGTTGTTCTGATCAGTTTTAAAACTCATTCATTACTTAAAACCTTTAAGAAGTGTTTGTTTTGTTTTTATTTAAACAAATATTTGTCATTAGTCACTAAACAAACTTTAGTTATTAACTTGTCGTTACAGTAGCTCTCATGGAGACATGTGGAATCTTCAGTACAAATATTTTAGTATTAGTAAAGTCAAGAAAATTAGGTACTGTATTCAGGAAAGCACCACTAAGCAAATAAGCTTATATCCATATATGCCTAAATGCTGTTTTAAACAGGAACGGATTTAAACGCATACTGAAGTTCTTTTTCTTTCCTTGGCCATAGAGAATACTGAAAGAATCACACATTTAACAATTCATTTTACCTTATCTTTCAAAATAAATTTATATTTACATGTATTGCGGCTTTTAGAGCTGGGTGGGTTTTTGATGATATGAATCCGTACATTTTTTTCAGTGGCTGTTTTTGTCTTTCAGACTTGAATCTCCTACTAGATCTTTGGTGATGGAAGCACCCAGGGGAGTGCAAGTCAATGCAGCTGCAGGAGACTTAAAGGCTATCTGTAGGAAAGAATTGCATTTACAGTCCACAGAAGGGGAGGTAAGCACAGCCGGTAGAGAAATGTTCTACAGCTCTGCCCAGCAAAATGCAAGCAATGCAAGGATATTTTATTTAAGAGAGAGGTGAACATCACAAGTGTTCTGCCTTTGCCTACGTTAAAAAGATTTTTGTGTAGCTTCCTCAATCATTATTACTTATTTGCTTTCTGCCAATATTGGAATCACTCAATTTTATTCACACTGAAAAAAAAGGTAGTTAAATATATGTTTAAGTGGATAAAGATAAGGATGATTTTTAATATAACAGTCAAGGAAAACATTACCCCATCTTCAGCAGATCTATGAGACAGAGACAGCTAAGCGATATTGGTAAGAAGTTATTTGTGTTTAATGATAATTAAGGTTTTGTTTACAGCACAGCTGCTTCAGATGAATCGGACAAACTAAGAGAGAACTTGCTAGGTTACTTGCACTTCCTAGCTTACAAGCACTGTTGGAAAACTAGTTGTTTAATGTAAATGGCTAACTGGGAATAGAACTCTTTAGAAAAATTTTGACCTTTGTGTTTGTATTTTCTACCAAGTGTTCCCAAATGCATTACAAACTATGCAAACAAGCAACAGCAAACAAAACCAGCATTCACATCTGTGATGGATGATGTCCTCCAAGGCATACGCTTTGCATCACAATGCAGATGGGAACATTTTTGGCCATTATGCTGAGTCAAAGGCCTACTTCAATAAAAGGTTTCCATAGCTCCAAGTGTCTGTCCTGCATATTTAAGCACAATATTTTCGTAATTCACGGCCTCAAGTACTTATTTTTGCCACATGTTCCAGCTTATTTCTGAGTTTCTCCAAATAACAGCTCTTATCACAATCCCTCGTCTAAATTTACTTAGCACCTTAGTATGAAGCCTTTGTTACTGGTTCCTAATGTGGCCAAGACAGCAGTAAAGAATATCTATCTGTCTTTTAATAGTAAATATCATTCTCCCTCACCCCTTGTGCTTTCTGCGAGCAGTTTTATTGCAGGGGCTACATTTTCCTGAAATCCTTCCTGCTTCCCCTGGCCCAGTCTAGTATGTTTCCCATTTTTATTAACATTAATTTTTCACTTGGAATATACTTCTTTGTTCTTTCTATTAATGATATTGTCCATGGGAAAAAAAAAATATTCAAGTGAAAAAAAAAAAAGAGGCGAAGTAGAAAGACTCTTACCTTTCCTCATTTTCCCATGATCTCTGGGGCAATGGTTGTGCCTATAATGTCTTGTTGTAGTACCATGCATCTTTGTGGTGCTTTGTACATGTTTCATCCATGGGTTCACCAGACATTTTTGCGTATATCAATATTGGGAGTTTATGGCATGAATTCTAATTTTTCTTAAGCAGTTACTCCAGTTGGACATCCACAATATTACTGATAGTGCAAAGTCATCATGGCCACATTAGAGAGTTAAAGGATTAATTCAAGCCAGGTGTAAGGATCCAGGGTAAAGATATGATGGACTGAAACTGATTTCTAAAGAAAAATATCTATATAAAAAAAATATTAATTGATGCTCTTGTTCACAGGCCGGTGGACACACTAAATGTTGATAGACAGTATGGAGAAAAAGTGTAAAAGGTTTATCATAATGTTTTATTAGAAAAACACGTTCTAAAACAAAAGGAAGTATATATGTCAAAAGTAATCCTTATTTTAGCCTGAAGATATATGCTTTATCAGTCAGGCTTTTTATGTGGATAAAAGAATATTGGCTCAATGGATTGGATATGTGAATGCACTATTTTTGTGATAAGACATTTTATACTAAAAAAATGCAGATTTTTTGGTGTTATTCTTATATTGATTAACTAAATTTAATATTTAATGTTTGTACGCTTATTCAATAAATCATCAAAGACAGATGAATTAATATTTTCCTTCTATAGCATAATTACTGTGCTATTATGCCAGGAAATAGTTATTGTGGCGTCTGGAATCAATCAGTTATAACCATGTAGCAGAACATTATGAATTTACTGTGAATTAATCTATGAAAGATATATTTCCCTTTTAGGAAAGAAAAACTTCAGAATGTATTTTTTTGAAGAACAAATGTATTTACGAAATACTTTTCCTCTAGCCTTATTTCTCATACAGTATAATCTTTAGCCTCCCATATCATAAACTGAAAGCCTCTGCAAGCATTCTGAATTCTGCTGTTTGATACTTTGCAGTATTATACTAATCATTTTAGCCATATTATGCATTATAATGCATGATTCCAGACTGAATACTGGGGGCTGTAATTTAGACTCAGGTCTGCTGCCCTTTTATGAAGCACTTGAGCTTCACCCTCATGAGTCGAGGCATCAGCAGAATCCTTTGATTCAATTATAGCTTGATATTTAATTGTGAAGTATATATTATTCTATAAATAAACCATAACCAATGGTTTAAAGCAGCAATCATTTACAAGCAAAATGAAATGTGAAGCTCCAGGCTCTAGCAGATTCTGCTGGTTTACATAAGAAGAAGAACCACCTTCCTTGTCTGGAAATTCAGCACAATGGCTGCTAGGTAACTACTGCTTCTTCCTCATGTAAACACAATGCAAAAGGACATATCATATTTGAATGTTGTAGATACTAGATTTTGCTATGTCCACAAATGCACAAAAATATGTAGAATTGAACCTAAAATATATTATCATATAATGATAACAAGCTTAAAGGATTATTTGATGATGTCAATTCACTGGTCCAAAATACAATTTTAATGGTTTTGACGATACATCACCCTTTGAAGGATGATTCCTTTGAAGGAGAAGGTTGCTTCCTTAGCCTCAGCTCTTATGCAAGTTCATTCTCATCCAGCTGCCATGTATTTCTGCAAGCAACTGCTGTGCAAGCCAGGCTCTGCACTTGATTGCATCGCATTGACTAGCAAAGGCCAAGTAAAAAAAAGGAGAAAGACACACTGAGGCATCCCATTGTTACAAACATGCTCATATGAGTCACCTTGCCTGTGACCTTTTTTCTATTTATTTGCTTATCCTCTTGTTGTTTCTTGTCAGATTGCACTCCTGAATTGCACGGTCTGTGGACTGGATTTGGTTGTTTCTAGCATAACAAGGCCGATTCCTTGGTTCGACTTACAGCTGTCACATTAAAAATGACCAATACTCTTTGAAAGAAAAAGTTTACTCACAATCAGTGTAGCAGACAAGAGGCCAAGCTTATATTGTGACCTTACTATTTTCATGCACCTCAGTTTATTTTGATGAAGTGCATGCCAAGGTGATTTTGTAGAGACTGACTGACAAATGCACTAGTGCTAACATTTGATATATAGTCCTATCCAGGTCTCCCACTAAGTCCAAAACATGTATTTGACATTGAACTTAATAATTTATAAAACTGGAGTAGTCTTCACTTGTAAGCCCAAAAGCCCCATTTTGAAGCTCTATTTTTGGTGCTTTTTGTAGCTGTTGCTATGTTCTGAAACAGAAGAAAGGAATTTTTAATTATCTAAATATAGTGGAACGAAACTAGTGTGTTCTGCGTGGTGTTTGCCACAACTGTGAAGGAATGGCTGGTCGAAGGCAACATTTCCTAGATTTGTTCAGTTCAACCAAGTTATGCTTGTCTGAGATTAAATCTTTGCAAAAACAAATTTAAATTCATGATATAAATGAACCGAGTTCAATAAAAAATGAGCAATGACAGATCGTAGATCTAGTTCTGTTTTGAATGGTAATTAATTAATATGTTTTTGTACTCGGTAGACTGCGCACAAATATTCCAAATACATGTTTTTGCCTTTCTGGGTTGGGTACATAAATCCCAAATAAGTCACATCTGTCCTCTGATTCAATGAGTTTGCAAATACTTCCAGTACAAGCGACCAAGGAATGGAATTTAAAATTTCATTCTGAAAATTCTTGTGTGTGAGATTATCATTGGTGTTCCGGAAACATTAGTGCTTGTAAACACTGGTCAACATTCACAGGAACCGCACTGATGAGCCCTGAAATGATTTCCTTTATAACAAGAATAAATACGCTAGAAAGTTTTTGTAGCCCCGGCACTGGGGCTACAAAATCAGTAGCCCCCAATATAAGTTGCACTGGTGTTATAAATCAGCAGTTGTAATATATACTTAAGTTTATCTAAAATGAATTTACAAAACTGTATATACTTGTATACTTAAAATGAAACATTTTAACATCTCCAAGCGACTCATATGAATACCACTAGAGTACTGAAAAGTCAGAAATGAAACATAAATTCTTCCAACCTAAGTATGGATAAATGAGTACTGAAAACTTAGCAGGCACTGTACAATTCAGTAATGTACAATGTTATATGACTGATGAACACCAGCTTTTCAGCTTTCCTTCTTTTCTTCCACACTTCCCCCAAGTTTCTGCCATTTCTTACCCACACTAAACCTGAATTTGCCTGAGCAGTTTCACTGGAATTGCCTGTCTAATCAAATCCTATAATGAATATAGAAAATTCTTCAGTCTTTATAAACCCTAACCAGAACACTAGAAGGTCTGTTGTTTGACTTTACCTGCTTAGTCTATCCATCTCCTCTATTTAGAGGACTTAGTAGAGGATCGAGTGTAGAACTTATATAGAACTTATATACATGGTAGACTTATCTCTCTGTTGGAAATAGCTATATGAATATTTGATTTCTTTACCTTTTGCCTTAATCTTGCCCACTGAAAGTTTTCTCCTTAAATTTTGTTCTATATTTCTAAATTATATTCTATAATATATATTTTCTGGCTTGTCTTTCCCTCCTTTCCTGACTCAGATAGGTTAACACCACAGTCTGATAAGAAGATGGTTTACAGATCTCATTTAACAAATATCACTGAGAACATTGATTTTCTGTGCACTTTCACAGGATGATTTTACAAGGCACAGTATAGGGCTACCTAGGTTTGCCAGGTTGGTTAATGTTTGACATTTCTTTGCAGATACATACGCCTACGCTCTTCTACATGTTCATGTCTCCCGGTAAATATCACCATCACCGTAGAGTGACAAATGACTGAACTACCTTAGCAGATTTATGAAAATTCATAGAAATAATTGATTGCAAACATTGTAAACAGGGAGGCCAAACACTCAGTTATACATCCCTTGACATTTCATTTAATACATCTTGATACCTCATGACAACTATCAACTCGATTTTTTTGCAAAATGAGAAATGAGAAACTAGTCATGTTACCTTAACTGAATTACACATCACAGCTGTAGCCTATGTAGAAGAAAGCTGCATTAACTTATTAATACTTCATCAGAAATAATCTTCTGAATATTTCGTTCTTATTTCCTTAGAAATAGAAATAATTTAGGCTCATTCCGTTTCTTCCTTCTTGCTATCTCTGTGTCTCTCGTACAGTACTCAAATACCCCTGCAGAAAATCAAAGCCTATGTGTGAAAAATGTGCAAGTCAAAATTACCGAACATTCCTATCAAATAGGTTGCACATAAAAACTATGTAAAAAGAGTACAGTTTTTCCTCTCTTACCACAAAGCCTGCAGGATGACTCAGTCTGCTACTTTAGTTAATCAGAAATCCAATCCACTTAAAAGTAGTATAGCACTATATATTAAGATGCATAAGACAGAAAGCAGTGATCTAGGATTTCTAAAATGTAAGTATTTAAACAGAAGGCAAATGATCCTGCTAAATGCTCTGCTCTCTGATGTGAAATAGCATGTCTGTGTAGCTGCTGCCTTTTCAGTGTTGTCGTTTCTCCATCAGTCTCCTACTATGTTTCAAGGAGGACAAATGAAAGTTTCAGTTTTATCCTTGCCCATTCATCCACTGAACTGTGAGAGTCTCAGGAAGAGCATGACTGGCTCACATGGCCTTGATGCATATGAAGTTTTAAATGGCTTATCTCACACCTTTCACAGCACAAAAGATTAGAGAAACTGCACGTGTACAGTTGACTTCCATTAACTGCTATCATCTAACAGCAGTGTTCCTTGGAAACATAATACTCTTCAGTTTTTCTTCTTGCTACATCTTCCCTTTTCTTTATACACCTCATAGCACCAGGCATAAAGAGGTAAGTACAGTTTAAGTCTTATTGACATTGGAGGATATTTCAGCCGTGAATTTCAGTTTTCAGCAGAAAAAAAGGAGGGAAGAAGGTATGCCCCCAAACATGGACTACAGTCCTCTGACATTCCTTAAGTTACTTATTTGGCTCCCATGCTGAAATATTTGGACCCTCTGTTTAGCTAATGGATAGCAATGTTCCATGTCTAAAGTTTAGGTTTTTAATTATAACTTTGAAAGCATATGAACAGAGTAGATTTTAATGCTTACTAAAAATCAATATTAAAAGTCCAAAATGCTACTCAGATGGGTTTTTTTTTAGAACTATTTGGTACAAGTTACTTGGAGCTGCTCATTAAGAGTATATAACACTAGTAGCTGCAGTTTGATATCCTGTGGAGTTACTGTTGAAATTGAAAGTATTGCATCACTATCCTGTTCTAACACCAATACAGAAAGATCTTCCTGCAAGTATAGAACTACTTTGAGCACTATTCTGTATGCACCTATACTTAGACACAGCTTACACTATTGAATGGATTTTTTATGCAAAACTCTTGATAACTCTGCTATTACTGCTTTAATAGTAGGCTTATTATAATTTCTTTTATTCCTGATAAGAGAAGTGATAAAGTACTTTTTATTACCTGTAAACCGCCGTGGTTGACAACTATGTCCTTTCTTTCCTGAATACATTTTACCAATTCCTAACTTCTAGTTTGCTACAAATTTCTTTTTTTACTCCGTTATTTTGTCTTATTATACTTGCTATAGTTGCTTTCACTTTTGCTCCTAGCTGAGCTAAATTTTTTTACTTATGTAATATTTTATAGTTGTAATTGTCGTAGAACATTATTAAATTGTTCCCAGTACCATCCACATTTATTCCATCTAAATTATTTCTGCTGAGCTTTTGACTCCTAATTATTTCAAGTTTATGAAATAGGACTTTTAAAGCAGCTATGAGTGTTTGTGTGTGTAAATATATCATTCCTTTGTCATATGAATTACAGAACGAAGATAATCATTTGCTGCTTTTTAGTGTTGTAATCAATTCTTCTATCAGTCAGGACATGAGTTTAACAAATTCTCCCCTTTTTTTATCTATTTCTCACTATGCACTTATCCAATTTTGAAACGAAATGAATGCTCTTTTCCCCCCCTTTTTATTCCTGCCTTGCTAGTTTAGTGTCTTCTTGACCTGCCTTTCACAGCTTCAGCCCTAAGTAGGCTGGCTTGCCGTCAGCTGAGTTACGTATTGTGTTGCCATCTCTTTGCATACACAGTAGATACCACTGTTGCTCTCTCTTACTACCAGCCTCTTGGGCCGTTACTCACTTTGGATGTCCACATTGCTTTCATCCTGGGGCAGAAAAATCAACCAGAATATCTCTGAGACATACTTCTGTCATCCCTTTGTGCTTCCTGCAGTCAGCTATAGTGTGTGACTTACAAGAGGTGTGTTTAGTGCCAGGATGAGTGTTTGCCCCCTGCCTGTGTCCACGTCCCAGCACCCGGAAGACATCATGCCACACAGATATCCGCTGCTTCTCTAAGATTGCTCCTTCCAATCCTTTTCGTGTAAACTCCCAACAACAGCAGTTTGTCTTCCTCTGGCAGCTGGAGAGCTCTCAGTGAGGGTTCGTATTGCTTTGGGCTAGTTTCAGCCTGTATTTCATTCAGCTGCACCAGTTATTTAAAATGCTGCTGCTGTGGATGGTAACATGACTGTGCCTCAGTCATTGTATGGGAATTTTATCCAGCCTTCCCTCCTCAGATTTTTGCCAGCCTGCCCTCCTCCACTTCTCTCCAGCAGGGGCTTAGTATGGCTTCTGCACTGCTTTTCTGCCAGCTGAAGCTGATTTTATCATAAAATAATATTTGTCTGCTGTACGAGACAGCAGAATACATGTCATTTCTTCTCAGGTTCTTTACATGTACTGGCAACACTGTGATACAACGGTGTTAAGTTGGCTTTGTTGATTTTCAATTCCTTATAAAGTCACTAGGTAGTATTTCAGGAACTCATCTTCTCCTAAGCTTCATACTGCTTCTGCAGGGCTTAAAGCCATTTTGATTTGTTACCTGTCTTCCAGAAATTCCCAGTGTGCATCTGAGGTAATGACTGATCTTACTTTGGCTTTCATTTATTCCTTCCATAAAAAAAAAAAAAAAACTCTAAGTAGCCAGAAACTCCTGTGTTTGTTACAGCACAAGACTTGGTTTTTCCGTCCTTCATTTAATATCATGATGTAGTTTATTCAGCACCCTGAAACTGTCATGTAAATATTATAGAGCTCCATACAGATTCATGGGTATTACCTTTTCAGTGTTCACAGTTTCATGCTGTCTCTTGTTATTTTCAATGGAAGGAGATTAAAACAACATTTTTTAATTATATGCAATGTTCAGAAACAAATTGGAATAGCTTGATGACCTCCTTAATAAGACTTTAACCTGAAATCTTTTTTCCTTTAATTTAGGTCAAATAAGCTCTTTGTTTTGTGTGTATGACTCTGTACCCTTATTTAATTATTCTCTGAATGTAGTTCTTGTTAAGCCCCTACAGTTTAGCATACTTCAGCATATATTTCCTGCTGCTTACAGGAACACACTGGGGAATGTGCTTTAATATCACTTCACACTTATTAGAATACAAATTCTTCCAGAGTTAAGATATGCAACTGCCATGAATGAATACATTTTAATCATAAAGTGTACAAGTGAGAATTCAACCTGTTCAAGAATATTGTCAAAATGTTTTTGTATGACACTACTTGGATCTGAATAAACATGTTGGGTGAAGGCTTAAGAAGTACTTGTATATACTGCATTAAGAAGTATTAATGGGTATACAGCTACACAAAGCTGAAAACCAGGAAATTTTGATAGTGACTACATTAAATTCAACCTCATGACTATGCCACAAAATACATCTTTGAATTATGTTACAATGCTGAAAGACAGGTACTTATTCCATCTTTTTTCCCCTTGTAGATATTTTTAAATGCAGATACAATCCGCCTGGGAAATCTACCGACGGGTTCCTTCTCGTCCTCTCCACCTAGCTCTTCAGCTCCTCGCCAGACTATCTATGAGCTCTGCGTCTGTCCTAATGGTAAACTTTACCTGTCTCCAGCAGGAGCAGGCTCCACATGTCAGTCCAGTAGCAACATCTGCTTGTGGAGCTAAAATGACTCCAGTTTATCCTCACACCAGAATAGCCTTTTGTTACTATCCCTCTGCTTCACAGTTCTGCTCGGTTTCCCTTGTGACAAGTTCGACGCTTCAAATGGCCTGCAGAGCAACTTTTTGCAGTGTAAGCAGATGGTACCACTCAGCGTAGAGATGGGAGTGAGATATTCAGCATGTATTCTTCATCAGGAAACCTGGATCATAATATCACCTTTTGTCCAAAAGGGAGAATAACACAGGTGCCTTTGCTACATGAAGTGAAGCACATAGTTTTAGATTTTTGCAGGACCTGGATATGAACTGCACATATATATACAGTACATATACAAATTTGCCCAGAATCCAATGGTGAGATGAATTGGTAACCCCTGTATGTTAAATAACTTTACTGTCTGAAAGCACAATTTTCCATTCATCTTTTTGGATGTAAACTTTTATCCCTGAATTTTAAAATTTTGAAGCATTGTGTGATGCTTGCTTTACTAAACAATTAAATTCAGTAAATGTTTTTTAACACAAAAAGAGACAGAATCCCTCACTCAGTTTGGTTTCTTTAAAAGAAGCGTGTTGTTACTCTTTGTCTACTAGGTCTAGGGTTTTGTACACTAGGTAAATTTTGGCAGCAATATTAACTTTCAGAGCTAAAAAGACATCTGCTCTTGTCTGTCAGACCTGAATGGCCTTATACAGTAATTTCGTGGCTACTGCATGTGAAGTGATTGCTTTAAATAGAACATAGAGTTTCTGGAAAAGAAGAACAGGGTAAAGAGGGAAATACTGATGGTATGTTTGCTGATCAGTTTGTTGTTCTTCACAAGGTATTTATAATTGGCAAAAGCAAAAACAAGAAAAGATCTTCCAAGGTGCATCTTGTCCATTTTCTAGCTACGTCTAACTGCTGCCATTTGAACACAGTACAAACATCAGTACTAATGTCACCTGTGATGCTGTGAAGCCATGCACTAAAAGCTGGAAGGACACATTTATTATTCTTTTTTCTTTACCATCTGCTGCTAAGGTTTTCAAAGTAGTAGTAATAAAAATATATATAAAACTATATTAAATGAAATTCAATATCGAAAAGTACATTGACATTATGTTGACTTCATCAGGTCTGTGTTTAAATTATGCAGCCCCGTTTGCACTCAGATCTCACTACTTAACTTTCTTTTTTGACATGTTTGATGTGGGATTTCTTTCTTGTATCAATTTTTAGTACTTGTTTGGCTTTTTTGGTAACTGAGTTCCTGTAAGAGATGCTTTGGTATGCTGCTGCTAAGTTTATCACAACATTGATTAACAAGAATATCTTGAAACTTGCAGAACCCAGGAATGTAAAACAGTATAAAAATGTTTCCTATTGTGGAAGATGGCTTGATAACATAAGGTAAGTGAGCTTTTTAATATTATCCTTTAAACCACATCACCTAGCATGTAGCTTTAGAGGCTTCTGAACGTAGGATTACCAATGCAATGATGACTTTTGTAAGATAAGCTCTTAAGTTAGGGTGACCAGCGTAAGGTGGGTATTTCTACACAACATATTTTTTCTTTAGAGAAAAAAAAAAGGTGAAAATGAGCAAACTAACACGATGATAATCTTTCTATTTTATTACCAGCTAATGAGGTTGATTTGGTTTTCACTTCAGGTGAAATTCACTCCTACGTAGAAGACCAGCAGAGGGCGTATCCACGGCTTGACTGGTGCTTGCCTTTCCATTGGTCCTCTTCAGAGGTGTGAATTTCACCCCTGTTCTAGCAAGAACTGTACACTTGCTGTTCCTGCCAGTTAAGCAGAGATTCTAAAGTGATTATTTCATCTGTTCAAAAGAAGGCTATTAACAGCTGATTTGCTATTTCTTTGAGAACACTATTTTGTCACTTGGAAAGAAATATATTAGAAAATATTAGAAGAAGATCTATTGGAAGCCTGTTTTTTGTTTTAAGTAAGAAGGACAGAAACAGAGATAGAAGTGACAGAGAAGTCAATAACAAAACATTAGAAATTATAGCTATACCATATACCCTTAAAAATTTATAGGGAAATAGATGCCTTTTCTTATGCACACAAGTAATAGAATGTAGGTGTGAAAGTCATGGAAATAAATAGTATATCAGGAGGAGGAGTCTAAGGATATGTATAAGGACACATTCATATGCATTCATTATCTGTGCACACATGCATACACTGGTTACTTAAAAGATGGACAAAGAGCTTATAGTGACTTATCTATTCAGTGAATTATGTTTTCCCTTCCTACAAATTGTACCCAAGCAGACTAAGAATTTTTTTCTCCCCAAATTTAAATTCACAGGAATGGCTTGCAGGCACTGTGTCATGAATTTTCCATTGAGCATTTCTCATTTGTTTGCTCTTCACCTTAGATGATTATGGCCCAAATTTTACAAATTCTACGCAAACTGGAGTGAGGATGGGCAGGTAGAAAAGAAATCTTTTGTTACTAGGTTCATTTTAAAAGCAAGGTTGAATTAATTTACCGCTAAGGTTTGTATGAAGAAAACTCAGGGCATGTGTGCCTGGAACGTTGGACTCAACAAAGCTAATCAATTAGTCCGCATCGCTCTGCGCTGTCAGGATTTTCTTGCTTGGAATCACTGCAGTCTGCTCCCCAGTATTTCTGATACCAATTCTGGCACAAGAAGAAGCAGAGAGTATTTGGGAGCTTCAGCCGCCTATGGGATAGACACAACCTCAGTGTAAAAATTTCTCATAATATCTCAATATTCTAATGAATTTCACAATGTTGATATTTACCTCAAATCCCTTGAAACGCATAAGAATCGGAAAATCTCAGTTTTCATTTGAAAGAATATTTCTAGCCCACATGATTTCAGAGAGTATTGGAAAAGTGATTTCAGTGCACCAAGGGAACTAAAAAAAATCAAAAAGCCAACAATAAACTATTTCTAAGCATCGTCAACGTTTTTGAGAGGAAGGAGAAACTAACCGGATATTTCTGAATTTCACTATTGCAGCTAGCAATAGTGAAAACCTCAATAGTACACGGCTCTGTAGATGCAGGTAGGAAGAAGATGACAAAACAGAACTGTATTTAGAGGCTTCTCATATGTTCACGTGGTTCTTGCAAACTGATTCTCAGCTCTTCTGCTCGTTAGTACCTCCCCAAAATATCAGAAAAGTGGCATAGACCCACACATGTCATTTCAGGTGGAAGGAAAGTGAAAGATTTCAGGACAAAGACCATGTAAAAACATGGCGCCATAGCTTTAATTTTTCAGTGCTGGTTTTACGATGCTGAAGCTTAAAATAAAGGTCACTTCTGTGCAGAGCCATAGGAAATTTTCAAATATTTTTTGTCACCTTCCTCATAGATTCCTTGCTCTGTCTCCGAGTTATTCCAGTCTTTGTTGGCCATTTACACTGTCAAACGTTCAGCTTATGATTAAAGCCCAGCTAACGTATCTCTACTCTAGAGTGCTTATCTATCTGGCTGAATATTTTGATCACTATTTTTAGAAAAAGGATGTCACTTCTTATTCTAGCTAAGGCAAGAGTTTCCCAGTTCACAAATCACTCTGTTGCGACAATTGCAGGGAGAGATTGAAGACCTTAAGATATTTTAAGCATTAATATTAGTCCAGTTAAAAAAAGATCAGTGGCTAAAAATATTTCTTTGAGGTTCTTTATAATATATGAATACATGTATCAAATAAAGCTTCTTTTTGTACTAGAATATCAATTTGGGAGCCGCTAAAATGTTATTACAGCTGTTCAACTCTTTCAGATCTATCCCTATGACAACAGTGAAATATATGAAAAGACCTTATTAGCTACATGTATTTAATATATACAATAGACTTACTTTCTGTAAAAATCTGTGTCACAGTATAATAGGATACTGTCTCTTTCTTGTTTAAAAAATAAAAATAAATCATCAACCAATCTCTCTGAGCACTGTTACCTGTATGGTTTTGTATTGCAGTTCATTCATTGGTTAAGTGATAAGACCAAAGACTGACACTTCTACTATATCTAACACTATGACACTGCTGCTTCTACTAATTCTGTGGGGATGAAGAGTCCAGACGTTGTAATTACAACATGAAATTGTAACATAGTTTAGATTTCCGCAGCATTTTGAGCTGTAGACAGTTCACTTTTTTCCTGGGGTTTAAATTGTTTGTCAGCGTAGTGCAGTTACCTTGTTGTTCACACATAACAGGATCTTTCGGTGTTCACAAGCAAGGGGAAGAACGCGTGTTCCAAAATGTGCCAAGACGCTGCTTGCCTCAGCTGAAGTTATATTATTTTGCTGTCATAGTGGCTTGACTGTATAACACAATTCACTTTAAACCATTTCAGAAAGAGGGCTATTAAATCTGGGTTGAAAATACAGCCATAACTGACTGAAAGAGTTTGATGAAGAATGTTTTAAGATATTCAGTTGCTAACACCGTGTGATTTTTTTTTTTTAGGTTCTAAACCATTTTCTAAATAAAAAAGCCAAACTTAGACTATTGAATTGTTATCAGCTGATTCACTGTATGCATATGTAAATTGGATCAGAGTTTGAGTGTCATATGGTTTAAATTAGTACTCAGTAGAAGTCTGCTAACCGTTTTTGTTTCATTTTGTAACTTTCATGTTAATGCTTTTCTTGTGTATATAAGTATATAAAAAGATGGGAACTATTTTCTTACACATACTATGCAATATCTTTGTAAAACTGCAATATTACCAAAATTACAAAAGCTGTGCTTTTGTACTCTCTTGCTTTATGTAAAACAAATCTTTTTTCTATTTAACGGATTGTCTGTCTTATAATTGTAGATAGCATATTATTCAAAAGCAGTACACTGTAACTTTCAGACTTTTTTATTTTATTTTCCTCGGACTTTTTATGTTATGAAAATAATAGCAAGGTTTTGGAAGTTGGAAATTGTTTTTTCTTGGAAAGATAGAATTTTTACAGCATGTAATTAACACAGTCAGTTTGAAATCTCTCCTGTACTTCTTTCATTTGGTCTTAGTATTTGCATCTGGTGCTACTGTATAACCATAAATAAGCGTGACAGATAAAATAGGAAACATATCAGAACTCATGTCAAGAATAATCAAGAATAATCAAATGGAAAACTTTCTAAGGGTG